CCCCCCCCCTCGTTCGTTTATATATATTTCATTTTTTTCGTTCACTTTTAATTCTCTGTTAATTATCAATTACCTTAGGATTACGTTAATGTTAATTCTTGTTAGAAGGTATACAGCACGTAGTACAGTTTCTTTGGAGTATTATGCCTTGGGACCGAGATGATCCTGTTGAGCCTACGGGAACACCTCGGCCACTCACTTCTTTTACTCGAGAGTGAACTCTGACCTTTCACCCAATCGATTAATCATTAAAATTAGCGGTCCCTTAATGTTTTTCTTCTCTCTTCATTTTCATTCTTCACTCTTCGTTTCGTAGACGAGAACTCAATAAGGTCTACGGTAACCGGATAGGATGAAGCACGGTGATTTATGAGATCTCGCTATTTGCTCTTCATGGTCGTTTTGACGTATGTCAATAGTATATATATAATGTTCTGGTCGGTTACTGGTACTTGAAATTCGATCACGTTTATCTCTGTTGTTTCATACTGTGATGTACTTTGTGTGATTATTAGCAAGCACTCTCGAGATGAGCACTTTGTCGTCTTCTAGCTTGTCGTTGGCGAAACTGATGGAATTCCGCCTTCATCGCTTGCACCCTGGCCTCTATGTTATCCCTAGTGTACCTGGGTGCCTGATGATGAACAGTGTGTACTTGATGAAGATGTGGCCCGTGTATCGTATGCATCTGATGAGTCGGTGGTCGTTCTTCTCTGGTAGGTGTGGAAGCCGAGGTCGGCGTCGGCGTACAGGAAACTGGATCGAATTCGTAGTGACCGTCGACACTTCCAGCGTCGACTGCAGTCTGGGTCACTTTGCCTTCCTGAAGTTCAAGCCATCGGCCGATCAAAGGCGGCGGCGGTGGCCTGTAGGGCGGTGGTCGCCATTCGGCAACAGTGGATCCTGACCTGGAGCTTTGATTTTGTTGGGACGTATTTTTACTACCAAAACCGGAGCTACTAGACCTGCTTTCCGGCGATGTCTCCAGGTCTGGCGATGCTGCCAGCTCAGGTGCCGACCTGGCGTGCCTTGCGTGTCTTGGTGGTAACCGCGCCCTGGGTCTACCTGCTGATTGTGGCGGCGACGAGGTCGCTAAGGGTTGAACCGGAATGAACCTCCTGGACTCTGCGTGTATAGCACGTAAGGACGGTAATTCCTGACTGTAACGTTGGTGAACGGATTTTAGTTGAAGGTATCCTGGTGGCGTCGGAAAGGATCTTTCTCCTCCGGATGAAGGTTGTCTGACTGAGCTGAGATCACTGAAGTACATGGGCGACCAAGGTACGTGAGGACCGGCTGGTGAACTGGCCAAAAACCTTGGGGAGGATATGGTACATATTGCACCAGGTCTGGGTCTCGTCACAGCTGCCACGACGCCTGCCAACTGTCCTCCTGGCAGACCCACAGAGACTCCACTACCGTCGGAGCGTAGGCTGAGTTGACTGTTGCCCACCAACGGTCTACGCCAGGATGACTTGAGTCTCGTCTTCGGCAGGAAGCCGCCGTCGTCGCTGCTCGAGGCGTCAAGGATGCTGTTGTCTGCCGAGCTGATCACCGAATCCGCTATGACGAAGCGGCCGTCGGCCGCCCGGGAGATTTTACCCAGCGGCCGTCCACGGGAGGAGTCCGGAGTGTCAGGACTTAGGATCTCACGAAGTAGACTTAGACCTGGTACTCGGCTTTTTCTAGGTCTACGGTAGATACAAGCGATGTTAGATGTGGTAATGGCGATTGGCAACAGCAACGGTACGAGCGTTGCAGGAGGTAATAACTTCGCTTTCCTTGTCTCTCTCAAGCCCTAATTCAATCAGGCAGCACCAATCGGAAAAAAAAGAATACATGCTGACTTCCTGAAATCCTAAAGCAATGACAAACTCTCTGTCTGAAACATTGTCTTTTATCAGACAATTTATGGTAACGACCTCCTGCAACGTCGACCAGAAAAACAGCAACGTGCAACAATGACAAAACAGCACAGACAACGTAACGAAAAAAATCATATGTCAACGAGAGTTACTGAAAGTAACTTTGGATGCAGGCAGGGATATATGGCATGCCCATGCGCATTCCGGTGCGAAAGTGATAATTTTCATTTTTTTTTTTCTCTTCAAGGGTCAGAGTGACGTGGGGGAAATTCAGTGGCCAACTGGACAGTGATAGGTGAAAGGTCGTGAGGGCTGTGGTGGTGGTGGTATCGGGCAGTGAGTAGATTCTCAATTCAAATATAATTTTTTCTCAATCTCTTTTTTTGTTTCATTCTTTTTTCTCAATACTGATTTTAAAATTTTTTTCTCTGCAATTTTATACGACTTTTCTTTGTCTCATTTTGATTCAATAGTGTTTTAGTAATCGTGGATTTAGGTGCTCCGAAACTCGTCACCTTTTTTCCTCCTTCGGGTCCGGCAGCAAGGAAAGATCGGGGAGAGAGAATGTTGTAACACAACGATTACATTCACAAAAACAATCGTGGTGATGATGACGATAATAATAAGAATAATAATGAACGCTAAATAATTGAACGTTACTTCTAGGCGGTGGTGTTGGGAGCAAATAGATCATCGGCACGGTTCACGGCCCGGATGCGCGTCTTACGTGAATTCCAGCGAGTCACTGACAGAGAGAGGCAGAAGACAGTCGAAGAAAAAGATTGGATAGTGAATTATGAAAAATTTTTTTTAATTAACATGACGCTAAGTTGAGGCACGAGTGTAGGTAACGATAATTCATACGAGTCGGACGAATGGCAATAAATTATTCGAAAACCACTCGTCTAAAATTCGTATAAACGAATCATTGATAAAAGCATAAGAAATCAATGACGACCAAGATTTGTTATAAGGGATCATTAAAAAAAATTATACCAGCGAAAAAGATTGGCAAGAATTGTAATTTTTATTAAATAATAGTTTCTTCAACTATTTCCAAGCTCGTCTCTTGGTCGTCATCGGCGATAAAGGCCATTCCGCAAGAGACGTGTCTTTCAAGGCAAGAACGTAGTAAAGAAACAAGATAGAAGTACAGATGAGTAAGTGGAAGTAAAAGGAAAGCAGTAAACAAGTAGAGAGACGATAAAGGTAATGCAAGGGAGATAAAACAATTTCAACGAAAAGTCATCTTGAAAGGAAACTGTAGAATTTTCTATAGTAGCTTTTACCACTGAAGGGTCAGACAATACAACAAAATATAAATGGCAGATATATAGCAGAAGCAGAATGAAAGTGTCAAAGAGATTGAAGAAAGGGTGAAAGGAACGTAGAAGGAGATGCGAATGGATTACAAGCATAGATAGGGAACAATAAGAATAGTAGAAGATTGAATCAAAAAAGTAATGGTCTGAGAATGAGAACGAAAGTAAGTCAGACAGTTATGGGACTGAATCATTTTGATGTCTCTGAATCTACTTGGATGATAATATCTGGATACTAAAAACTTATTGATTATCAGATTTCGATAAAAGTAATTCAACGACGATATCGTGCAAATTGAACGAATAAAATGGGGCGGAGGAGGGGACAATGGTATTTTGTATCTGGATATTCAGATCGTTTAAGAAATCGGAGTACCTATTTTCCGGGTCCCTTATATGATACGTTATTTTTATATAGTTTTTTTAAAATGGCATTATGGCTCGTTTAGAATCGAGACAGTGAAAAGAATAAAAAGGAACGAGCCTTTAAAGTACGTGTTATGTACAATTTCTATTTTTTCGGCAAGATTCACAAGGATCCATCCGTTCGGAAATATAATAGACCCATTTTTTTTTTCAAAAATTCCCCACGCAATATAAAAAAAGTATGACAAAGGACTCTCGCGATTCATCGATTATGGCTGTTTATAGATCCCGATAAGGATGCCAATAGGAAATTATGTACCTTAATAAAGGATTATAAGATTATAAACGTTATACTAGATGATCAAAGTGGATGATACGTAAAGCGAGTCTTGATGACTATTCGAAGCACGTGACAATTGATAATGAAAAGTTTATTCAAAAGTATAAAAAAAGGACGGTGCTCTATATGAAAAAACGTCACTGAGCAGGGTAATGCCTGTGCAAGTAACAAAATGACTAATAGAGGTGATCAATGAAGTGAGCGAACAAGTGCAAAAGTGAATAGGATCCCAATGAGCAATGGAATATATAAGAGTTAAAAAAAAAAGTATAAAAAGAGGATTTATAATAATAAAAAAGATAAAGATAAATAACATACTGTAAAATGAGCAGATAGCGAGATAGAGATAGAAAGAGAAAAGAGCCATAGAGAAATAGATAGAAAGACAGAGCACGTATGACTTAAAAAGGCAAGTATAACAATAAAAATATTAAATCGCGAATTGACCGATTAATAAATAAAACAAGCCCAACGTTAACCGGGCTTCATATCTATGTACTCCCTAGACCGCCGAACAGATAAGGGTACTGACTGGAATTACTAGTGAGTCCTAGCTGTTTGCCTGTATTGCTCATCTCATCTACAGTCATGACAATCGTCCTAAGTAGTAGATAGTAGTAGTAGTAGTAGTAGTAAGTAGTAGTAAGTAGTTGAGTAGTAGTACGTAGTGGTTGTAATAGTAGTAGGTAGTACTAGTAGTAGTAATAGTAGTAGTAACAGTAGTAGCAGTAGTTGTTGGTAGTGATGGTGGTTGGTGAGAGGGTGATGTGTCCCACCGCTTTAAGGGCGTTCTTTCGATTTTCTTTATCGACCCCCGGTCGGTCGACTTTGACCTTGGGACTCATGATGGCTATCAATAATTAATCCCGTGGGTATTCACGTTGCTAGCGGAGGTTAGGCTTACTGTTCCGCCTCTCTATGATAAATACGCTCTCGTAATCTCGGTTTTCGAGATGGAGCGCGTGATGGTCACGATTCGGGGGGGCCTCGTGGACCTGCTCCGAGATGGCAGTGGCAGGGGTTACTTGCGTAGGAAGTGGTTGATGAAGAGGTTGTGGTTGCGGATTCAACGGGCTGCAACGGGTCAGCGTCGACACTGACTCGCCGCACGCGTTTAAGTTTGTCGACCTACAGAACACACAGAGGACAAGAGACACCACGTTGTGTGTCGAGCATTGATTCGAGAAGTCACCATGTTATTTTTTTAATTTAAAGATTTTTTTCTCCCCTCTATTAAGTTCAGTCTAAGTCGTTTCTTAATCCCTCTTCCCTCTCTTTTTTTTTCATCTTTGAGCAAAGTTGAAAAAGCATCTAACAAACATACTATTTCTAGTCTTTGTTTCTTGCAACTCAATGCATATATATGCCTCTCGAGAGAGAGAACTTTTGTTACACAAGACTGTTTTATCATGTTTTTTTTTTTTTGGTTTTCCTTGTAAATATACTTATAGACTGTTTTTAACCTATAGCTTTGTTTGCAAAGGCTAAATAGGGGCCACCCATATACTAATTTATGTATTCCGGCAGTGGCTGAACCGTCCAGCCCGTTCTGGATATTCAATGACGCGAATGATTTTCAAAAGTGATTTCGCGCGCGCAACACACAATCGGGAGCAATCGAGTGCGCCCCAAGGAAAATCATGAAGGAGTAGGAAATAACGTTGGATTGGATTTTCGTCTTGTAAAAGGATACTTTGGGACAGGGGATTCCCCGTGGCTGTACAGTTTATACCTGTCGGAGTCCCGTAGCTCGGGGAATCCCCGGGGACAAATAGTACAAGCGGAACCTCAATAAGAGATTTACACAGAGAGACGAAAAATAGGGGGGAAAAAAATAACAAAAGAATAATCTCTATTATTAATAATAGAGATTGTCACTTTTTTTTTCACTAAAACAAAATGGAGAACGGTCATCAAAAATAATTGGTCGTTGTGGTAATGGTGGTACTGGTGGAAGTGGTGGTGCGCAATTAACGATTGATCTCATTACGAACGTAGGATACGGGCTCGTAATTAACAACAATAGTACCTTGGTACTTGTCGTACGATATTACGCGAATCCGAGACAATAACTAAAGGTTAATCCAGAATAGGCATCACTGCAGTCGTATTGTGGACTTTTGGATGCCATTACGACGCGATATGAATCAAATAATAATTTGTGTAGCCACGCGATCAGAGATATATAAAGATAATGATAGAAAGAGAAAGTGAAGAGAAACAGACAGAGACAAACGGAAAGATATACAGGATTTATATTAATATACTATAATCGGTGTCTGATGTGCGTGTGATTTTTAGGCATGGGTGATTTGCCATATACATTATATGATATAATATATATTCATAGTATATGTATATTATGATCGTTATATCATTATAATATCGGTATATCGGTGACGGGTAGAATATACTTTCATCAATCGATCCCCGGTCTCGTACGATCCGGGTGTACAGAAATATAGAAAAGTAGTCGTTATAAGATATAGAGATATACAGTGAGATATAATATTATAATATTATATAGGGTGAGTGGAACGCGTCGCACTCCAACCTCGTCCAGAATACCTCTGCTGCGGTTAAGTCTGCCGGTCTCTAAGAATCTAAAAGCTTATGTGTTACAATGGTAGACAAGAAGACCAGGGTTTTCGTGAGGGCCGATGTACTAGTCGCATATATTCATATATATCTATATATCGATATAATATATAATATATATATGATATATGCATATACAGGATCCATATGAAATTTTTCTTTATCCTCGTTTGAGCTCACTGAGTCTTCTCGTACTTCAGATATACATATAGGTATATTAATATATATCGCTATAGCAGCAAACGAATATATTCATATACTTATGCATACTGAATATATACCGAGTGATCCGTGAATATTGTTGACGGTGCTTTGGTTTACCTATTTGCTCGGGGACTTAATCACTAGACTGCTAATCCTAGTAGTGGCCTCATATATATTATTTTTTCAAATTTTGAATTTGCACTCACGAGTATCATCGCTAACTAATAGAACGGTCAATGTTCTAAGTACAATTAAAACTGTATATGAAAGTATCCAAAAGGTACGCGGGAATGTTCTTTAATGATAGGTACTAATTATAGTCAACAGTGATACTATTGGGATGTAATTATATCTAAGAAGTATTTAATATACTATACAATATAGTATAGTATAGGTGAAATATATAATAGCGGTGATGGGAAACGCGAGTGCAAACTCCCATAATATATTCTACGTAATATGTAATAATCCCGTGTTATATCTAAATGTTCCCCATATATGTATATTATTTTTTTTTTCAGAATCCAAATAATAATTCGAATCCTTAATATCTGTGAAACATGGGTTCGAATATGGAAACTCACTTTTTCAAAGGCACTGTTCCTTGGAGCCCCTGCCCGGCGCCATTCCGTGAGTCGGTGACCCGACAGGCCACCATGTTATACGCTGAAAGCAGTTCTATAATGTTACAAAATTATGTTAAATAGGTATATGTTCAGGTTTTCAGGTGCACGCCCAGCCTCTGCGTTGCCAGTACCGTTACACCTTGAGAATGACGAAGATTCTAAAAAGGTTGGGTACCCTTCTCCTGGGCACTATGATATACCATAGTAATAATACTAATAGCAAGGAAAAGTGAACTCCGAAGTAAATCTATATATTATTTTGTGAATTAGATAAGAGTGAATATCTTTGATTTTTAAAGTACCATAAATCATTTAAGAAAATGTCATCTCAGTACACGAAACGGTTCCCGGAGCACAGACGCAGGCTGTGATGTCAAAAATGAGTAGACGCAGACGACGTTCCGCCACGGGGTGTACCTTTCTCTTGTTTTCGTCGCTTCCGCTTGTTGCATATCTTGACAGCGCATATGCTCAGGATGATGGCGACGATGAAGAAGAGTATACCACCCACGATACCGGCCGTGATGGCCTTGTGCTTGACGTGTGCCGGAACCAGAAACTTGACGACCTCGCTGGCGCCATAATTCGTCGACGAATTAGCGAATACTTGAAAGTAATAGGTTTTCCCACCGACGACATTTTTCACTGTTGATAAGAAAAACAAAAAATGTTATTTTACAATTATACGAATTCGTTAATATATTTTCTAATGGTTTATCAATTATAATTATTATTGTTCAGCTGATGAAGACTCATATTACTCACTTAGGAAACGGGTTTCCTCGGGTCGGATTTGTCCCTTGTTGACCGTCTTCCAGTCTCCATCAGTCTTGTACTGGATCGTGTAGAACTCTACCAAATGACTTCGTTCAAGCGGTTGCTCCCAGGTGATGAGGAATCCGTTGGTGACCTCCGTGATGGTCAGGTTCCTGGGCGGACCTGGCTTTGGTCCTGATACGAGAGAGGCTTTAGAACGAAGGACGATTCTTTCAGAGTCCCGGAACCCCCGTGGGGAGGATCCCGAGCAGAGAATTCCGAAGAGGGTCGCGCGACAGATCCACGAATCACCCATTTTGCTATTAAGGCAGTTCTCATAGGTACGTATAATTGGCTTCATCTCGGGACGAGGACGATTAATCCTTGGTAAGGACCTACGCCTACCGATGGCCCGGCTAGCGCGAGCCTCGCGAAAATGTAAATTCGTGACGAGGTGACAGCGGACGAGTAAGATAGAGTAGAAAGAGAGAGTAAGAAAGAGAAAGTGGAAAATGAAATGAGGTAACAAAAATACACGCATGACTTTTTTACGGGACAATTTTTTTTTTCATTTTCACCAGTAAGATTTTGCAAAATCCTTGTGACGTATACAAGAACCGTTTTCGCGTAGGATTTTAATTCGCCATTGTGATATAATGCAAAATTAGGTTATCGCGAAGTTTTAGCCATTTATACTTCGCAAAATTATTTTGAAAGAAAAAATGTTAAAACACGTCGACTGATTTTAAATAACACGTTAATTTTATGTCTACTCTTTTTTTTTGTCTTTCTAAATTCGCAAACTAGAGCCAGAGCATGCTGTTTCAACTTTGCGCACCGCTGAAATACCTCGTCCTTTGATCAATCGAACCAAAATCAGTTGTAGATCGTCAAGTGTCAAACGGTTTTAACGTTTACCAGTGATTTCGACGGATTCTGGTTTTTTTGTTCGCTTTTAATAGAAAAAACAAATAGCTTGAAAAGCGTTCGTTTAACGCCGATAATATTTTTCTCCAAGAGCACACTCCAGGTTTGATTTTTTAATTTCTCTCTCGTGTCGCCCGCTTCCGCACGCCTTCATTATTGTTATTGTTGTTACCAGTTGCAATTGAATGGAGATTTTTGCGTTAGCGCCGAAACGACGATGTACTCGAGTAAACAGCGTTGTTAAATGTTCACGAGGGGAAACGCGAGTGTAAAAAAGTGCGGATATGTACAGAGTATATACGTTTGACAGTTTGAAAACGGTCAACGAATGTATATGTATGTAGGGAGTGACCCCACGCGTTTTACGAAATAACGAGATTTTGTGTTAACTGATTTTCCCATGGTACCTATTCCACGTAAATGTACTGATTTTATGGGTCCCTTCTGTTTCGCTTTTTTTTTGGGTGGTAAATGTTTTTGGATTCATTATACAGCTTGTTTGAAATTTACGTATTTTCAAATTAAAATAACGAGGAGTGTGGCTCGCACAAACTAATTTTTTGCGAACGGCATTTTTTGAGATACGGTTAACGTTTCATTTTATAAATAAATCAGGGTTTCCAAATAAATGTTGTAAAGTTATAAAGACAAACAATTGTTCAGATGAATGAATAGATATGGAATTGTATAGAGAACAAATTTGTGGAAACATAAATTTTTTTAATAATATAAATAAAAAATGAAAGTAAATGCAGTAATACCTTTAGGACGCATGATTGACGGGTGCACGGGATTTCCTGTGGAATTAGTTGATAATATAAGAGTATTATAATCTAAGATGTCTGAAATGAGAGAAAAATATGAAAAAACATGAATGATACTGATTTTTGTTTAAATAGAAAACTCAAAATTTCATATAGTAACCACCCAAGTAATAAATGTGTTAGTATCAGGTACAAGATATAGAAATAACACACGAGACAAGATAAATTAGTATTAAGAAAGAAAGAAGAAACGAGAAAGAAGCATAGATCGAGAATAGAAATATCAAATAAATGAAAAAAGAGAAATTTTAATTACAATGAAAAAAAAATGTATTACAGCACATACGCCAAGGGTAGAGATTAAAGAAATGGTTAAATAAAAATATAGAGAAATTAAAATCAATCAAAGCATAAGGAAACGATCAAAATATCCCACCAGAAATGATAAATGAATCAAAGATCCAAATAAAAGATTAACATCAAAGGGAACTGATAAAAGCAAAAGAATCATCATAAAGTAAATCCCATAAAGCAACATCCCATAGAGTATTTATAGTACAATGCCAATACGACGGTCGGCCTAATCTAATGTACCCATGGACATATTCCCAATTCATAGACTATTCCTCAAGAACAATAAAGGGAAACGAGGTCCTCGTACCAACGAAACGCACTCCAATTCGCTGTAAAACTATACGAATACACGTAATATAGAATTAAGAAAAAACGGCAGAGTCGTGGATCTAATGATATATTCGACGGTATTTTCTATGGGTTTTTTCCATAGTGGCTTACCACTCTGATCGGATGGTGCGCTGGATGCCGGAGTAGCTGAACGAGTTCCTCCGACATCTTGAGGCGTGAAAAGAAAAGGAGAAAAATAGGAAAGTCATGGAGTTCAGGTATTAGTATCATGCACAATTGTTATTAGTGAATTCTATTCAAATATTTTAACATCAGTATGACGTCTACGTTATTAAAGAAATGATTCGTTTGTTTGCGAGATTCATGATTTTTCTTTTATCCGTCTCTTTAATTACTCACCAAGAGTCCGCAAGGTGATGACTTTGCTGAGCATACCGTCACCCAGGGCATTCTTCCCGATTACCTGGAATTCGTACACCGTGCTGGGGGTGAGTCGGCTTATGGTTACCGATGTACTTCCGGAAGGAGTTACAGGAATTGTGGTCCATTCGGAAGTACCAGCTTCTCTGTACCTAAATAAGAAAAAAAAATCATACATTATTTCATCAATATATTACATCAGTGATAATACATAAGTGATGATAATAAAATGTTATTTTACAATTTTGTAAAATGTTATTTTACAATTTTGCATGGGTACGACTGGAAAGATGTAAGCTTGTTTATTTTTTTTTTTTTCAATGAAAAAAATTAATTGCGTTAAGTGGAACGAATGAGCACGAAATTTCTACGGTATAAGCGTCGTGAATTGTTAAAATTTTATTTAAAAATTTACTAGTATACATACCAAATTATCCGTAAGCAAATTTTATAACCTAAAGTTCTTCAGAGTCTTATTATCATCCGCATCCTCGTAGTCAAGTATAAAAAAATGATAAAATAATTACTGCCGTCACTTACCAGATAGTGTAATCCTGCTTGTAATCAGGACCACCCGAGTATCCTGGTAACCAAGTGAGATTAACTTGGAATTCACTAGCAACACCAGTAACGTTATAGGGTGCATGGGGTTGGGTGCCCTCGACGATGAGTTGCGTAGTGGCCATTATGGTCGCCACTTCGTTCGACGCGACGCACTGATAATGACCGAAATCAGAACGCCTTAGACTTTCAATAGTCAAATTACCCTCTACGACTTTAGCCCGGTTCCGTGGAATTGGTGAACCATCCCTCTGCGTGGTAAATGGTATAATTAATATAATAGATAGCGTCATCAATTGAATAAAATGAACCTACCCTTTGCCATTGAATTATAGGTTTTTGAGTGCCCTCAGCTTCTTGGGCGACGCAGTGCATCTCGACGGTCTCGCCCACCTTCCTCTGGTAGGATACATTGGGTTCCAGGATGAAGACAGGGGGATTTCTTACGAGCACCTCCATAGGGGCTGAACTACCCTGTGTACCCTGAGCATTATACGGTGTGCACGTGTAACGTCCTTGATGATTCTCATTGACTCTGGTGAACAGGAGAGAACCGTTATTCATGATAACGATATCTTTGGTCTGATAAGGCTCCAGGAGACGTTTATCCTTGGTCCAGGTGACATACTGAAGGGGTGGATTTGCCTTGATGTAACACTGTACCACCCCGCCCAGACGGAAAGGCAAGTACTGAACTGTAGGGGTGAAGGTCACCTTGGCGGGATCTAAAAAAGATTTTTTAATTATTTATCAAGTCGCTATAGTTTCTGTGCTTAAATTTAATTTCTTGGAAACTACCCTGTGAGCTGTTCGTGATAACGAATACTCACACTCCACATTGAGATAGGCACTGGCGCTTTGTGGTTCTCCAATGCCATTCGTCACTTCGCATAGATACTGGCCTGAATCGTCAGCCCTTACTGGATTAATCACCAAACTCCCATCCATCCTGATGGACACCCTCGTGTTCAGAGCCGAAACCTCGTTGATAGGTGCACCCTCTCTGAACCAGCGTACCGTTACGTTACCCGGAAGTGCTTTGGCTTCGCATGAGAATTGTACCTTCTCACCCTCGAGTTTGGTTTGATTAGTGGGTGGTACCATGATGACAGCTCCACCTAGTTAGAAGAAACAGAAAATTAAATACTACAAAGAAACAACCGGAAGACATATAAATTAATGATATCGCCTCTAATACCAAGCCGTAGCATATGTATTGAATTATATTTATTACATCATAATCAAATTATCCACAAACGGTCTAAGGTCTAACGGTCTAATATCAATGAAATCCTAGCTCATCTCGTAGATATACATATATGTATATATGTGATATAAGTTAAAAAACCTTCACAGAACCAAGCGGGAGGAAATCTGTAGGTCGTCGCCATTCCGACGCCGATACAGAACCCTGGAAAAAGGGATTAAGGTTGAAGTGCTGCCAACAAAAGGCAGAAAAAGGAGGGCGCCTAAGGTTTGGCATCACTGAAAGCCAGAAGCCTGGTACGTCGTTGAATTCTAAAAGTTGCCAGTTTTCATCGACAGGAAGTGTCGTCGTGACATTCTATATAAGGCATATCGCGTTTATTTCACGAACTTTCGCGCCCTGTGGAGCTTCTTCTCTGTCATACCCTAACGTTGGCTACGTTTTCAACGACTACAGACGCCATCGCGAAAACCCGTCTATCGGGCGTCGCGACCCTGCCAAGCCGCGACATTATAATAGCAGCGCCTCCGGCGTCCCACTGGCATTGATCGGAACGTCTGACAAAGGAGGTAAGAGAGGAAGAACCTCCTCAAAAGGAAAAGAAGGATCTACCGGGACAAAAATACACACCCGATGACCCAGCCTCTATACTTTTTTTTTCACTCAAGATATCCATCTCCACAAATTCTATGATCCAATTCACTGGAAGACTTCTAATAAAGAAAACCGAATCTGTCAAAATCTGAGAAAAGTCGCTGATTGCAAACCGATCACGATTCAACCCCAAAGCATCGCGGACGATAAAATCAAAAGATCCTCGATGTCAATGTCTCGACGGCTTACAGTGCCAAAAATCCGTAGTCGTTAACGAGGGATTACATAAAATCTCGAAAGTTGTAAAAAGACAAGAAAAAATTTTTCAAACTCAAAAATTGGATTTAAATCTTTTAAAAATCTAGGGTGGCTGCACAAAAATATAAAGTGCACCGCAGGATCCTTCGAGTACACAAGTCCTACATGGCGAAAAAAGAACAGGAACGTTTACTGGTCAGGATAGCAATCAAGCCGAGTTAGCACAGTCAACGAGACACATGGGCGTCCAATTGTAACAATTACCTATAGACAGGTGGTCGTTATCCACTACGAGGTAAACATTGCCTGGTTGGTCAGCAACGTAGCCATTATCGAAAACTATGGCAAATCCAGCAACGAATGCTATACACTGTCAATAGATCTTTTCCGGCACGAGAAACATCGTAAAATACACGGGAGGATTAGTTCTGCAGCTGGCGCTTACCTACGACGCACAGCGCCACGGATTAGCGTCCAGCATGGTAACTATTCCCTTGTCGTACTAGAATCATGACTGGCGCGACAATCGCTGTCACTGACACGACCTACCGGCAATAGAAGACGTACCGATGGCAACGACTGTCGCGCCCATAGTCGTGCTTCTAGTACGACAAGGGAGTTACCGTGATGGCCGCTGTGCGTCGTAGGTATGCGCTAGTTGCAGAACTAATCCTCCCGTGTATTTTACAATGTTTCTCGTGCCGGAAAAGATCTATTGACAGTGCATAGCATTCGTTGCTGGATTTTCCATAGTTTTCGATAATTGCTGATCAACCAAGCAATCTTTACCTGGCAGTAGAAAACGACTACCTCTCTATAGAGAATTGTTACAATGGGACGCCCTATGTCTTATGTTTACTCTGCTAACTCGGCCTGATTATTACCCTGACCAGTAATTGGTTATATTCTCCCTTTCTCTGTGTACCAACTGTAAAATCATTTGAAATGTCACCTGATTTCCGGACAAAGGAGACGCGACCGGTAATAAATTTTATACCAGTCCTGAAAAGCATATACGGCTATTCTATCCCGCATATTCTTTTCATCTCTGAAGAAGCACTTATCCATAAAGTTTATTGGTTTCAAGCTTTACGAGATTGAAGAGTGAGTTTTCTGAAAAAAGGAACTTCAAGAAACTGGACATCATATACCAAAGGTCCCATGGGTCATTTCTATAACCATGAGAGCCACCAAATGGGTCGTCCCTATCCCAACTCTGATAACGCCACGTTCGAGTAGCACTTAAGGGATGAAAAGGTCGTGTCGATAAAATTAATCAGGTACCATTAATCAATACTAAAAATATTTTACTCACCAGCTACTATCACTCTTGCAGTGTGACTGATCTGACCTTCGCCATTTCTAGCGATACACGTGTAATCACCGATATCCTCATTCTTAATGGTAGACAATCGTAATTCCGTCCCATCGTTAAAGATACCAATGGTGTTCGATGGCTCCACTGGATTGGCGTCCTTGTACCACAGTATCTCAGGCGTCGGGGTGCCTTCGGCTTGACAGTTCAGTATAATGGCGTCTCCGAGATTCACGTAGATCATGTCCTCAGGTGTGATGCTGAATCTAGGCGGTGCTGCCAACATATAAAAGTCATAAAAATAAGTACCAGAAAAAGGTATACTGACAACTACGAGTACAAGGGGTAATAATTAAAATACAAGGGTAGTCAAAATAAAAATAAAAGTTTTATCCCGCTAGATATTACGTGATACTTGCAAACTTTTGGGAAGACCATTAGACGGTCGACCGCTGTTAAAGAAAAGATCTTAAACGCTTTCTGGTGCGCCGTGTATTTCCCTTTGATGCTGCCTCCTGGAGGCTTCAGGAGGAGGAGGGGAGGGAGGAAGGTTGTCGAGGTTGATGCTGGGGGTAAAGGAGCAAGAGAGTGTCTAACGGTTTACAAACGGAAGAGCGTAACGAGAAGGGATCTAGCTGTCTCACTCTGTCTTACCGGCTGACTCGCTGTCACTCTCTCGCTCAACTCTCACTCTCTGTCAGTCTACCCAAATGATTCTCTTCTTCCCACTGTACCCATTTTCTCTTCATACACGAGAAAACGCAGCAATAAGTCTCCAGCTTGAGTATTTTTCTCTTCCCTCCGTGCGACTTTTTTTTCCTATTTTTTTCCTAAGACTAACTTTATTTTTTTCTCTCTTTTTTTTTATCCAGCCAACCCCCCGAGCCTCTCCTGCTCCTATTACCGCAACTCTTAACCGAGACTGTTCTGCACGGCGCTCTGGTATTTTTCGTCACAGCATCCACTGGGTGCTTTACGACCCGTTAAGGGAACTGTGTCTGGACCAATTTCTTGTAGATGTTTTGGAGATTTATATTTTATCCTTTTTTTTTATATATGGATTTAAGAACGAAAAGCTTACCGTGTACGTCCAGATGGAACCAGGTACCGTTCTTGGGACTGTTTGGCGACCTGTTGAGGAAGACGACCTTGCACTCGTACCAACCCTGGTCGCTCTCCCGGATGTTGGTGAGATTTAGGCTCGCCACTCCGTATGGTGAATTCGGGCTGACCTTTGACACACGACCTTCATAACCTTCGCCGCTGTGGGTTGGATACGACTCGTACCATATGTATATCGGTATCTCCTGCCCCTTGCATCAACACCAACAAGCAACATAAACGAGGGATCGTGATGAGCAGATCGAAAGAGGGTGCAAGACAGACTTAATCATCAGAAAACGTACTTCCGGGTACATTTTTTATTTTTACTATACGTCTTTGGGTATATGAATTTCCGGTAGTCATGATCTACCTGAATTATATATAAATTACTTGCACCGACTTTATTGAATGAAAATGATTAAGGGTGCAATGAACAGGAAGTGACGTCCTTCAAGGAGGATCACTTGCCTATCGGTATTCAGTTCCAATGAGAAACAACGATATATATACTGTATATAAGTAATCTTATATACTTCTACTGTTACTTTAGAACTGTTCAGCATTATTATACAGGCAACGATTCTATCGCGTGCTCGCGAGCTGCTCAACCATATCGCCACCCATTTCCGGTTTCTTGGTAAAATTCAAACAGCAGGAAAATCTATGTGCATCTATGTATCAAAGGTAGGTATTATGTATATCCAGGAAGAACATCCAATTTTCCCGAGACACCCAAGGGGCGGCGCGATATAGTCCCGTTCCTGGCACCGTGCACCGACTCGGTACACAGTAGCAGCACGTATTGCTGTGCCCCAGATAAAATAAATGACGTTATCGGGCAAAACGGCAAATAAGCATGCATCGTGAGCGGAGGAAAAAAAATTGTGCAGACGAAAATCGTACATCTAATGTGACGTATGCAGTTATACGTAAATGTAATTTTAATGGTATTTTGTCGGTTTTCTTCCCCAATTCCGGAATACGTTGGGCATCAACTCGTTCAAACTCATACTCCATTTTCAACTGACCTACTTATAGCCACATGCAATCAGCTCGACGGCTCGCGTGAATTCAATATTTCCCAAGGCGCTGACTTCTCGTGCAACCCTATCCTGACACCCTGTGAACACTACGGATGTTCGTTGATTCATGTCGCTGATATTGATGGCCAGCGATAGGGGTTGGTAGAGTGTTATTTGTGATTTTAAGTTATATTTTTTTATGTTACCACGTCGTGATAACTTTTGAGAAAATTGCGAAGGAGGGAGAATAGGGGATGAAAAAATATGTGGTAGCTTCTTGTCGAGGATTTATTTAAAGAAGGTGGATTGAGTCGAGCGGATTAAGGGCTGCGGATGATGAAAGTAGAGAAAGGGTGAAGGATACAGGGTTAAAAATGCACAAGGTGGATGAGTGAGTTTAGAAGTGAAAAAAGAAATTAAAAAGCACCTGAAACCCTCAAGGAAATTAAAGCGGCTCTCGAGTAGGGAAAGGGGTTGAAAAAAACATAAATGTAAAGGAACTCGCTGTTCCGACCCCCCGTACGTTACTTTGTAAACATACAACTTTCCATATAAGTGGTCAGGGATGATGGAGTTTAGGGGTTGGATGACGTACCGAGATGCATCACCGCGAAAAGGGGTTTTGCAAGGGGTTGGTTTGCAGGGATGCGCAGAACTGGAATAAATTAAGATTTTCAAGTGCGCCTCCGTAAGGGATGTAAGAGTTTCACTACTTTCCCAGCATTTCTCCCCACTTCATGCAACCCTTCGCCGACTGTGCCAGGTTAAGCCCCGGAATTTCCAGTGGAACGCGAAATCATCCCTTACCGTCCAAGGGATAAAGTCGACCCATGTAGGTCAGTAGACTCTTGGTCCAACTTGAAAATTCCACCTCACCAAAAAATATAATTTTCAATAATTTTCTTCGCCCGCTCTCCTTGCACCCTTAACCTGACCCAGTCTCATCTTACAGGGGATGAATCGTCAAATAAAATCGCGTCATACCCCAAATCCCCGAAGCAATACAAGCCTGCTCAGTCTCCGGTAAGTAGACAACGTTTATGCCACTTTAAAAAAGGAACTCGCGGCCCCGCTGAATTATGCACCGCCCTGTACAACCACCAATGTCCATACGAGCCAACCTGTACCCCCCCTCTCGTCCCGTACTACCACCCCCGACCCACGATCGAAGAACATTTCAACCCTCTCCGACGAGCCAAGAGACTCGTTCCCGTTTGCAGGACGTTCGACATACCCGCTTCCATTCTTGGAAGCTACGATATACCGGGTGAGCAGTAATAAAAAAGAGCTCAAACCTCCCCTAGGCATCTACCGATAACCTGCTCTCTGTATTTCCTACCGGAAATGTACATACGATAAGTACGTATCGTCCTGCGTACATGAACTTTCAACCCCCCCCCCCCTACTACGTATTCGCAACGAAGAGTAGTTACTAATTATCTCGTTACACAAGAAAAGCTCGAGTCCCGTACCTAGAAAGTCTATGGTTGGTCGCATAATAAAAATCCCCGCCAATTAGCGAAGATAACGAGTCGAGAGGGTCGGACTACGATAGAGGGTTGCAGGTAAGTAAATGTGTAAGGGTTGTAAGACAGGGGTGGCGCAGCAGGTCGTACGAAGGGGTGGGATCTCAAGTGGTGAGGGATCAAGGGGTTGGTAACCCTGACACAGTTGAGTAGCTGAAGGCTCCGGACTTGTATTATGTATACGACCCCTAACCGTGCAGTCTGGCTAGTAACGGACATTACTACTGCTACTATACACCATTGCTCACTACCCCTCCTGGTGTACACCCTCTATGCTACATACTAAAAACCCATCTACGTATGCATGGTGTATATCTATATGCATTACCTGGACTTCCGCACATGAATGCTTCTTAACCTGACCCTTCGCCCCTCCACAGCCCCCCTCTCTCCTAGCCCCAATCCCTTTCTGACATCCGCAGCCAAACAACGTGCAGGTTTTACACACGGAGGTAACCTGCCTTGTACCCTGTCCTATTTTTCAGCCAATTACGGGTTAACAGGCTAACGTCGAATCGATATTGTCGCGTATGTACAGTGGTTCTCAATTATCTGTACAATTTGCTTGGTTTCCTTTAAAATAATACCCGTAGCACGATAGTGGAATTTACTTGTGTCTGTTGTAAACGTAAAATATTATGGCATCTAGGAATTTTTTTTTTTATGACATAACGATTGCGGCGCCACTGAACAACGTGGCCAGTGCAGACAATACATGATACACAGTGCTAAAATTGCAATTACTAATTCGATGGTGCAAATTTTAATCGCGATTTATAGAGGGATACCAAGGGGTTGAAACAAGTGGGACAGCCATTGAACGAGGATGAAAAAAGAGTTCAAAGGTCAATCCCTCTAAACCGAAAATAAATTAATATTTCTCTCGTCAATTTTCCCTGACATTGATTCTACCCATACCCAGCCCTTCGGCCATTTATTCGATTAGGCTGAAATCCTGCAGAATTCATCCCTTCGCAGGGATGAAATTTCTTCGTGATAAATAATTAACCACAAGCCTCGTCAGAGATCGGCAGTTTCGAGCCCTTTGAGACGATACTGACAAGAGTTCACCGGGAATTTTTATCACTGGTTGATTAAGAGTATTCTTAACCCTCTCTGCCGCAGACGTATTTACGTCACTCGATCTGCCTATAGTCTGTCCCTCCTTTTATCGAAAAAAAAAACAAACCCTGAAATCCAAAGGATTATTCACCAAGGATTATTTCCATTGTACCAATAGAAGACGACAGCAATCGGTCGTTATCAAGAGGGAAAGAGAAGCACCCCTTGTCAGACCAAAAGGACGAATACCGGAGTCGAGTGGAAACATCGGAAAATTGAATTGCAAGGGAAGACATCGTAATGTTTGCGAAACTGACTCGTGTCTCCATTTGTTTCATTAAATTACCTACGGTACGGCACTGCGACGTAAAGTCCCATCCCCAACGAGCGTCCACGTTCTACCGGAAATGAAGCCGGAATACGTCAATGGAAATAACCAAGGAGTAAAATCTGACCGTGAAATGAAATCAGTGGGGTAAAAATGAGGGAAGAAATGTTATTAAATTTTTTTAATAAATACCCCTCGAATTAACAAACAACGAACCCGCGATATTTAATACACAAGGGATATCAACGATTGCGTCATCGACCCATGAAATATTATCTACAGGCACCAGACACTTCCCCTTTCGATAGGCCATTATCTACACTGACTAAATACCAAGGAATACGAAACAATGCTACGAGTCCTCTTCACCAACCCCCCCCCCCTAACCCTAATTTACATTTTACGCCCGTGTTTACAGTGCATACCGGCTGCATCGTTCGTGTAATCTAATCAGGAATTCTCCTCGTGGCAGCGGTGCAAGAGTATCCTGGTGGCACGAGAAACGTCCCGTGTACAACAGAAGATACTGTTACTCGGCAGTGGTAGCCCCCCGTGCCTGTACAGACGTATATACATATACAATACTATAAGTACAGTCATACACTTTTAGGTATAGTGCAAACGTCCACGATGCATCTAGCTATATATACATATATATCACCCGGTACATATATGTCCACCTTGGAACGTCAGAGACGTAGAGTTTTATGCGGGCTTCCTCTTTCGTCCAGTGCAGCACGAAAGCGCAAACAAAATGCATTCTCGTGTTTCGCGACTGGGCCGAGTCGAGGAGACTCGGAAGTACTGCTGGATCGGAAGTAGAAAAGGAATGAGACGGTGAGGGAACTATTGAGCGTTGTGACGTCATCAATTCTGTACGGAGCTGATTTAACTAGATATCTATATATCTATACATATAGCTTGGTAAGCTGTGTATATTTATATAGGTATGTTATCTATATTCATGACCAAGGGTGAAGGGGGGTAGTGTGCGGTCTGACTCCCGGTGTAAGAGTGAACCCCCCGACATCTTGGATATGAAGTCCCGGGTGCTGGAACGCAATTGTTTACGCAAAGACCGGCAGACAATAACGTCGGCCCAGTGGGCTGATTTAATTAGCTATGCAATTAATTAAGAGTCGCCGGGTGCGCCGTGTCAATATTGAATTCACCGCGTGAACATCGCATATTAATAATCGGCTGAAACGTGACGTCGTGGCTGGCATAGATTAGCTTGTAAATTTAACACACAGCTATACACGTGATATATATATTGTGGTCCAACAGCACGTTCTAATCTATCCGACATGCAGCATGCTACGATTAACTTTTTTTTCCGATTACATTTTTTTTTCTTGGTGACAATCATAAACAGACGTTGAGAAATTTTGCATTTTTTTGAAAAATTGACTTTTTTTTGTATGCTTTTGTTTTATCATGTACTTCGCATGCTGTCTAGGTTCGTATGCGGTTTGACGAAAATAATAATGCAGAAATAATTGAAGGGTAATTATGAAATAATAATAATAATAATTGTGCACCATCCAATGAGACCCGAGAGTCGCGCGATAGTTACCAGCAAAGTCATATCGTTGCACAAATTGCACTTGGTTGCATTGGGTGCAACTGATCGACCTCGATGTTAAACAGGGGTCATACGAGGGTAATGTATATATGATGGTAAATACTATATGTACTAATGATAGTATATAGTCAATGAAGGTTAATCGGATGCGATTATTCGATTGATTAGTATAACGGATGATCGTGAAATGTTAATTAATACCAAACAGGCTCTGCCCTCTCCAGTCCATATTGGATTTGCCAAAAAAAGCGCATCTCTTGCCAACAATACTAAAAACAAGGAACGTGTATGTAGACGCAACTATTGAAAAACGCCTTTCGACAGTGGCGGCGCGTCCCGTTCGCCGGCAACAAGAAGAAGCAACGTGAAGCCACGAAAAATGAATAAATTATTCGTTACGTATGATAATCTAGGCCAAGACAATATTATTACTCCATGATTATTTATCAAGTCAGCGGTTGCAACAATTTTTTTTTTTTTTTTTTTAACGACGTAATCAAACCACGCGGGCCACCGTTCTAAATTAAATTCCTGTTTCCTTATTGCGCAATTTTTTTTTTTTTTTTTTTTTAACGACGTAATCAAACCACGCGGGCCACCGTTCTAAATTAAATTCCTGTTTCCTTATTGCGAAACTTCCGTCGTGCTTTGATGCCAGATTTCTTTGACTGCTGTTTCAAGTGGAATAATTTTTTTTTCTTTTTTTTTTTTTTTTCTTTGTCGTCCGCAATTCGCTCTATTGGATCCGAGCTATCGAATCGCTTCTCCTTTAAGACTTCTTTTTTTCGGAATGATTCGCTCAGTGACAACAGGGACGTAACTTCGCTGAACGGGGCCCTCGTTCTTTAACTCACGGATAGAGCAGAGGGTGTCGTCCGATATCGTACCGTTTCGCCTACCTTCTTCTCCCATTGGAGAACGTAGGGCACTGGGTGCTCACCGGGGAACTCCACGTGACAGTTGAACACCACGCTCTCCCCCAGGATAGCTGTTATGTGCACTGCATCCTGGTGACAGATACCTGGAAAAAATTTTTTTTTTAAATTCTATTATTTATATATGCATTACAAGTTATCACAATAAATTGAATAATACCGTGTGATATTTTGAATTTTGAAAAATTTTCAAAAACTGTTTTTTTTACACAAAAAAGGTAAAATTATTTTTTTAACCATAAACGGTCCTCGATCCTTGCCTACAATATTTTTATCCCCATTCCTAATAATCGTTATCGCCCTACATCTGCTCCTCAAACTTTTCTCAGCAATCTCAGCAACAGCTGCGTTTCTAAAGCGAATCTACGACGACGCGTCCGTAATCGAACCTGTCGTCGCGACGACCCGCCGCTCCCGCTTCAATAAAGTTCTCGCAAGGTGCTTTTAAAAGAACGTCGATGCTCTTGACGACCCTTAATGGCCCGGAACGATTAGTGAGCGCGTTACACGCCGTTTCAAAAGCCACTCGTTCATACAGGGTGACCCATACCATAAGCACTGGTACCGGAAAATTGGTGACGCGATCGAAATGACTTCTCAGCTCTGACGGTCGAGTGCTCCACAGTAGTGGTCGCTGTCGCGAAGGATAACAACGCCTTTATATTCACTATATATATGTGTGTGTGTGTGTGTGTGTGTGTGTGTATATATATATATATATAGCCGAAGATATCTACAGTAAAATAACATTGGAAATTCTATCAGCCGCCCCAAAGTTTTCCCAATGCCATTATTATTAATTTCGGTAACGGCTGCTACTGGCTTGACGAACTTCCACCTTATCGGACTAACTCCTCAACCATTATACATATACAGAGTGTCCTCTTTGAAATCCATCAAATCCATATTCCTGATTGCCTCTTTATTCAAAAAGAACATTTTCTCTACCGAAAATTCACCTTCGGTACTTCGCTTATACACGTAAGATGTATTAATAATTTCCAGCAGCGAAAGCTTCCGGCAGTGTTTCTATGAATCCTGATTAATACAGCAGTGCTTTCAAAGGTACGTAGTTACTGATCCGTGACTATACCGTGTGTGCTTAACTCAATTGCAATATTCCCGACTTTGGCTAGCTCCAGTCTATTGCCACGGAAGCCCCCAAGCTATACGGACGTACCCGTGTCAAAGGTACGGCGACGAAAACTGTTCGTCGAAGCCTGGCAAAATTACGTTGGCGTACATAATGCCAAGTACACGTGACATCAATTAAGTACATGATACCATTTGATAACCGGTACACTGTCGTGCTGTATATACGATTTGAAGCTTAATTAAATTGTCAGATAAAAGCGTGGTGAATCCATTGATAATAATGACAATAAAATAGTTCAGACGCCACAACACTGTAAACTGTGCTTTCAGTGTAATATCTAATACAGAAGAATTCGTGGTTAGCTAAATTATATATCGACTGATAACGACCTATCAGCCATTGATTATAATTATTGTTATCTATATATATATATATATATAGCAATGTATTTCATGTCACCGCATATGTAATAAAGAGTATCCGGGTTGATGACGCATCCGGTCTTGTTTGCACGAGGTTAGGGGTTATCATTGATTTTCACGTATTATATCGCTATCGAACCTTTTGTCAGTTATGGGCTAATTTCGAATAATATTTGCAAATGTGGTATTCCTCTATCAATCAATGACGTAACCGACGTACCAAAGGGGGCACACACAGTGCATAAACGTAACCGCGTGAATTGTCATGCTCTGGGTTTTTGTTCGTGGTTTTGGCAGTGCCGTAATTTTCACGATTTTACAGGGTTCCCTGGCCCGGAGCCCAGAAACGAAATGAGTCCTGGAGCCTTTCGGTGAAAAGCGTCGCGACGCCTATATCGACCCTATACACGGGACAATAGTGCAGTAGAAAGAAAAAAGACTGATAAAAGTGGAAAATTTCAAAAAAAAAAAATAAGAGTAAGAGTGGAGATGAAAAAATAAAAGGGTAAAAAAGAAGCAAAAGAGAAAGAGAGTCAAAGATTGGTTTCCAACGGAAAGGAGAGTGTCGAACATTGACGTCGCGACGACTTTGATCGCCCAGAGAATCCTTGTCCTATTGTTGAGACGCCCTTTGTTCCGATTATTGCCAACTGGACGGATGTACACGTGTAAAACGAGATTTTTTATTGTCTCCTCTCTCTCTCTCTCTCTCACTGTCTTTCACTTTTTTCAAATTTATCCCGTATTTAGACCGCCTCTCTCCCTGCTTAAAAAATTGCCCATATATCCATCAACTAATAAGGGAACAGACAACCGATAATTACGATCAAATTTGAATTTTCATGTGAACGACTAAAGGCGTTTTGCACGAATAACAGTTCAACGTACTGCTTGACGTATATTAGCTTATTTGTGTATGAACTTCCAATTAACATTTGACAGTAGTGCCAACGTTATAACCCGTCATCCATAGAAATTGACGAGAGTCAGTACGCACGGGTCTGACTCACCAGGTACGTATCTACTGTCTATGTTGCTTGAGGTTTAAACTGGACTATTCTACCTTGTTACTCGGCATTGTTATCATACGTAACGCACCGTGACTTCACGATTGATTAGAGACAAAGTAATAGATCCTCCTATACGGAATGCTTGAAAATATTTTCAACGAGGTAAAATATGGGGATTTAGATTTAAAATGAAAATAAGAGGAAACAGCAGCAACCTCAGGATTTGCCAGATCCTGGAGTGTACATAGCCAATTTTGTACGGCAGAGAATATGCAGACCTATATACTATATATGGGAATCGTGCATGCTAAATTTATATAGTGATCGATATACATATACGATACGTAACTACGGTATAGACGTACGTATCTCATCGAATTACGTCAAGCATGCTTCCAAGACTGAGAGCATGCAGATCTCATCAGATTACTGGTCCACGAGAAAGATCGGAGCGAACTTCGTAACAGGACAGAATTTTTGCCTGAGATAAAAATTTTTTTTGGCTTTCATGTATGTATTGTTAAAGACCTAATGTTATTAGGTTAGGTTAGATTACCAGCCAGGAAAAGCAACCGCACCAGTTAGCAAAGCTGATGGTGAATTTAATTAACTGAAACCCTTGACCCTCCAAAATTCTTGTGGCTTCGCAAGTTTTTCGTATACACCACGTACTATATGAATGCGCGTATACTATATTAACAACAAGGGATATGAACCAGGTAATTATGAAAGGCGAATTCTCAAGCGGCAGAAATCGAGACGGCAGATCCAAGGGCGACGACTTCGTTGCAGTACTGCGAGGTTCCTAAGGTTCGATCGCCATCTGGGAAGCGGCAGAAGTGCCTTATAGTTTGACGGTAAAGAGAGAGAGGGAGGGACGGAGGGAGGGAGAGAGAGAGAGAGAGAGAGAGAGAGAGGTGGGCAACGTAATAGTAGGTATTCTAATTTACCTCTGCCCGTTTTATTAGACGGCAAAAGGATAAGGCTGTAGGCATGACGATTATAACTAAGGCAGAAGAAAGCGGAAAAGTACACGAGATGATCTTAAGCCCGGTTTCTACCCGAACGTCCAGCCGTTAGCCGTCGCTCGATGCTTCATAAAGGGAACCCTGTAATCCGGAGAATCCAGTTTGTATACGGCCCTGGTTTCTATAGGTATACAGGTCTATGCTACAAGGACTATATAGATATAAGGCCGACGCTATTATATAGAACTATATAGGTATATACGTATGAATATAGAATATATAAATATAGGAGGTTTGAAGCAAGTCCTATGTATTATTTACGTTAATATATATACATATAGATATGGGGAGGTGTGCATATAAACATGTGTACATAGAGGACGGTGGTTGTAATGGAATTTTAAAAATCGAGGCCGACAGCAACTGGCGAGCAAGCGCTGAGGAATAATTGAGAAATAAATAAATTACGGGCATTAGCCTGGTAAAGTTTCCGGGGGTGGCTGGATCTTGCTTCGGTATAATCGTCCACGCTTCAAGCTCAAATATTGAAACCATTTATGTAACAGCCTGTTCGGTAGCAGCCGGAAATCTTTTGCTAATGCCACTCATTTCCGTCCTGATTTAATCAAGAAGAATTGATGGCACTTGGCGCGCCGGATAAAGTCAAGGGAATTTCGCAAGCACCCCCATTAGGCCTATATAACATACATATATACATAACGAGATTCTCTCTCTCTCTCTCTCTCTCTCTCTCTCTCTCTCTCTCTCTCTCTCTCTCTCTTTCTCATTCTCTCCTTTGCGTTCCTCTCTCACCATTTTCATCCGACATCGCAGCCCGATAGCCGTCCCTGGAAAAGGCAGTGCCGCGCAAGTGGCGATCACAATGGGGAGGTCTTTCGGCCATAGCACGACTTAGAAAACTTCCTATATTAAACAACTTTTCCGCTAATTTCGTGCTTCTCCGAGCGAGCGCAGCGACGACGCCGACGTCAGCGGGTGTGAGGCGTCGCACGATTTTCTTCATTTTCGCGAGAGCCTTCACGACCACGCCGTCGCCAACTGCTGTCTCGTTAATTTATAAGAGCGACAAGGCTTTGATAACACGAGGCCGGTATACGCCTCTTTTAAAGGGGTACTCTCAGGCCACGACAATAGCGGCATACAAAATTCTAAAAGCGAGTAAAATGTCCCTTCGTTGTATAGAGAAATTGAAATCTAGTAAAATTTTGAAAATAGATCCTAGTTTGAAATTTAAATTAAAATTTAGCCCAATTTTGAACAAACAAAGTGAGTGTTTTGGAATAATTTCATCGTCTTCAGAACGTATTCATGTGGCGACAAGGTTTGGCTAGGTATTTTTACCTCTTTTTCTTTTTTTTTTTTTCTTTTCAAATAAAGGTGGCCATTCGTCGTAACATTCGCTAATGAGACTAACGAGCATGCTAAGATGGATTCTCCACTCTTCTCGACAGAGATATGACGGACAGGACTGTCGAACATCGCCAACGCCGATGGGATGAAGGCTGGCATTCAAAACAGCTTTATGAGAGTGTTATCTTGCGAGAAATAGTGGATGTATATGAGACAGAGAGTGAAAGCAAACGAGGGGGAATGCAGGTAGGACAGGGTCATAAAGGATGATTCAGAGGAGGACCCAAACCCAGAGTCAGTAGTGACATCCCCGAATGTGTCAGACTTGGCAAACGCTAGCTCCGAGACGTCAAAGCAAGCTCATAGAGCCCGATCGATCTTCGTGTAACAATCAGCCATCCCGTGCTCATTGCTACTAATTAATGGAGTCAATTAGAAGCGATCCAGAGATACTGCTTACCTGGAGTGACAAGAAGGACGATGCCGAGGAGCAAAGCCCTCGCGGCCATTTCCGCAAGCCTTCGAAAGTCCCCACTGTAGGCCCGACGACAGCGTCTACTGTCCTCGTCGTCAACGTCGTCCCCGTGTTCGACCTCATGCCGAAGACCATCCTTGAGCGGATATTCTCGCTGATAGTAGTCCTCAATCCTTCCCGACCTCAGGGGATCCTCCGTCACGGCGTCCGGGTCGTCAGGACGCCGTCTTCGAATTCCTACACATGTCGGCTGAGCCGACGAGAGCGTCGCGCATGACGCGACACCTCTGAAACTGTAAAAAAAAATTGTGAAAAATTTTTTTTTTTAATTTTTCGCTCATTTTCGAATTTTCAGATTTAATAAAATTTTTGTGATTTTTTTACATTATTTATATGTATTACTATTGAAGTCATACGATATCGTATTCGACCCTCAATTCATTATTTTTATGTAATTAAATTTCTTGTAAATTACGGATACTCACCTCTCCACGTCTTGCCGGACCGCAGCCTCTCCCAAGGGATGATCATTCTCATTTAGAGAACGATATGACTGTCGCAAGTTCCTGAATCGCTGGGACTGCCGTCGCCGGAGGTCCGTGGCTTGTAGCCCTCCTCCGCCCCCCATACCCCCGCTCCCATAGTACCTAAAAATACCGTATTACGAAATACAGTGAAACAGCAGTGATAACGCGAATCTCAAAGGATATGAAATATACCTTCGGGTTATCGTAGTTTCGATCTATCGGGAAATTTACAGTTCTAGAAGCGAGGCATTAGAAAATTCGAAGATTCGTAGTCATAGAGACCTCTTTGACTTACAAAAGTTCGAGTTATCAAAGTCCAACTGTACCAAAGTGTCCCTTTTGTATAACCAATTTTTATGAAAAGGATCCTCCAATTATGAAATATTTCAATACGTCCTTTGTGTACGAATGTGTAAGCCTCCGCTGGAGGGAACGATTTCAAACGCGAATACTTAACAATAGTCGTTATTACAAGGAGGAGATATAAAAAGAGGATAACAGAAGGGGACAATGAGGAGTGATCTTTCTTTAACTTTTTAACAAAATTTTGGAAAAAAAAAACTCACCCCTGCCGCTCTGCCGCCACAACCGTTGCCCGGCTCGTCTGCCTCCGGCGCCGATTTTCCCAACCCTCGCCACTTCCGTCTCGTCTCCCGTCCTAGCCTCCGCAACGTTCCGCTGGCATCACCTACAACGAAACCGGATATTACGTATTATTAACAACCCCAAAAAGATCCTCCTGATTTTTCTCTAGACGTCAATAGCACCCCTGCTGCTGGGACGCCGTCATCGTTGAGGCGTTACGAGGGAAAAACGTCAACGGCACCCATGAAGGTGCAACAGATTTTTTTTTTCAAAGACATCTCGCCTCTAATAAGGGTGACCGAATTCGTCATAGGGGTTGATAATACTTCTGCCTCTATAACTGTTGTTACGTGTGTGATACCATCCCCTTTCAGACCCAGCGTGACACGCCTTTCACCCTGGAGGGTGCAAATCGAATACATTGAGATTCTGGCGCACTCGCTTTTCGGAGGGGTTGAAAAATAATGTGACTTAAAGAGCAAGGGGGATGAAAACCTGTATGGGACATATAAATAAAATTGGAACAAACTTTATGGTCACCCTGGAAGACTGATAAGAAAACGTCAGCTTTGACGTATGGCGTTAGATAAGAATTTAAGTTTCATTTTTTTTTTTTCGAGTCAGGTGCATACCTTCCAGTTAAATTTGGGGTGAATAAAGGGTTAATATAGGGTTACAGGGGTTGCACTGTTTGAACAATGGCATATGTCGCTCGACGCAATAGCGCCCACGCCGTCATCAGGGGGTTGCGACATCCCCTGTCATAACCCGTCTCCGTGTTCCTCGGTTATTAGCAGCGAGCCGTTGGGATTGCCTACCCTCTAGCCTTGCATACCCGCTAGAATGAACTCCGGTTACTACCCCTAATACCACTCTACATAGGTACACCCTCTCGTGCCATCGCTGATTATAAATTCGCTGACGAGATACGTGCATGGAGATTAGAATCCAATAGGAAAAATAATGTCAAGGGTTAACCGACAAAGATGAGGATTAAAAAATAAAATTTCACATTAATCCCCTCTCTTTAGTAAAAACGAACCCCTATCTTTTTCAAATGTCCAATAATCATTCTTTCCCATCCGACCCGCGAGATAACCAGCGATTCGTACGTAACTCGTGATTTGAGCCATGCCAACTATTATGTAGCAATTTGATTTCCCCGTAGAATTTCATTCCCTGTGGAAGTCTAATTATCGGATTCAGATTTCGTTCATACGGTTCCAGTTGGGAATCCGGCAGTCCATAGACTTCGTCATTGTCTGGGAACATAATGGACGTCTATATCATCCGGTGAGTTAAATAGGTTAGGTACGTAGGTGTACTCGTGCTAAGGGTGAATATTCAAGTAGATACGTAGCAGCGTGTGCAGATACGCGTGCATTAACGACGGCAGGAGTACTCGAGAGATAAGAGAAAATTCGATGATGAATTTTACACGAAATACCAAAAAAAAAAAAAAAAATGTACTATACAGAATTTCAATTTTTTTTAATAGTCGAATTGTTTAGTATCAAATGAAAATTGCATTTTCGGAGCGTGTCGTTAAAGCGTAGTGGGTGGGTGGGGGAGCCATAAAAAGAGATAGGAAGATGAGAACGAAAAAACTACTCCCTCGCAGATCCGTGACTAATTGGTCCATGTCCGGAGCTGTCGTCCAGCGTGACGTCATTTGTTAACGACAATTGGCAATGCCTAGAGACAGGTTTTCCCATCGCTCAACCTATTGACGCGAAACTACCCCTACTACCTATCCATAGTTATTTTTCTACCCCAACCCTTTTCGATATCCAACCCTCTCAATTTAATATCCCGTAGTCCTTTTTTCACGCCCGTCGATATTCGCCCGCGTTATTCAGGCTTTATTAGTTATACACGCGTGCGACTAAATTACCGCCAAGGTTCGCGGCCAATTTCATCCCCGATACGCGAAGCTACCCCGTCATTCATCCTCTCTCTCTCTCTCTCTCTCTCTCTCTCTCTCTCTCTCTCTCTCTCTCTATCTCTCTATCTCTCTCTGCACAGCCCTGTCTATCAAGCCACCCCTGTACTTTTTACTTCTCGATCCGAACCGGTACTTTCTCCTCTCTTTTTTTTTCCCCAGCCAACCCAATAAATATTGGCAAACGGATTTTTCGCATGGACCGGCAGCACGATAATGGTGTTCGTGAATTTGGTGAAGTTAAGCCAAAATTCAAAGAACCCTTATACAGGGTGAGAGCTGCATTGTCAGAGGGATTACAAACCGAGCGCCATTCGAAGCGACGGCAAGAAGCAACCACCACATAAAATTCCATGTTAAAATAACGAATTAAAAGACATCCCCCTGCGAAAGGAATGGAATCGCAGCGAGGGCCGGTGCCCAAGATTCTCTACTCAGCGAGGGGGATGAATCCGAGATAAAAGCATGGCCGGTGTATAAGGGGAAGATTACTATGCAAAGTCAGAGAGATTTTTTTTTCTCACCCCTTAAGATAAAGGGGGGGGGTATGGGTTCTTAGTATGCAACACGTTGCCTAGTCACCCCCACTGGTCGTGCCTTGCCAGTCGCCCATTTAGACTGTCCGGATGTTCCGCAGGCATTGCCAACCCTTATTTTCCATTGCCACCCCTAGGCACCCTCTGCCATCTCTTTCAAGATTCAACAGAAGAGTCTGGACCGCGTCGTGCATCTTTAGAGGTGTCGAAGGGATGGTTAGTTATATCAGCGTGGAATCTGTTTGAGCTTACTCGTCTTGATGGAAACGTTAATTATTACTTCAAGCTCTAAGAATCCCGAAGGACCGAAGCGCGGGAGAGCCGGACGAAAAGGGGAAAAATAGAAAACGACCAAGATGACTGTAGATCGGAAGGACCAAGGATGCAGAAGAGAATGAGAGGCTGTGAGCCAGGAAACGCATGAAGGTATTCAAATTCCGGATAAATGTACTATATATATATATATACTAAGTACATACTACGTGAGTACATATAAGGGTACAGATACCGGTCTAAGATTAAGGAAGATTAAGAGTTTCATCCATAACGGAATACTATCAGCAAGAGGACACGTATGGTAGCGTAGCATCTTTCTCGAGAGCAAACAAGGATGCTGTGTGGATCCCGAAATTGTGACGTCAGGATACTGTGGATCTTATCGGTGACCCAAGGGATCCTACGGGCTCCATCGTAGAATGGAGAACGCTGACCGTGGAATTTATAAATTAAATTTTATCAGTTAAATATACAAAGGTGAGTCGCGAAGTTTTTTCTTTTATTACGTAATGCGTCATTCGGCGATAATAATAATGATTCGAGTGAAGTAACGGCACGAATTACAGAAACGATCCCTGGAATTTGAACAGTACTCAATTATATCAGTCTAAATTAAATTGCCAGGTCCCTCGATCGCACGAAACAATTCCTTTGTAATTTTCATACAAAAGATTCGAGAATAATTTTCTCTGTAAGCTAAATATACTATAAGCTGTTTTAGATTCCATTTGAAATTTACTACTTCTCTCTTGCATATCAATGTCTACCTTGTGTGTACTCAATGCAGGTACGTAGCAACAATTGCTACTGGCTTGTTGGATTAATCAATTGGGCAGGATCGCTATCGCGTGAGTGAGCCGAAAGGTACGGACTGGTCCTTAGGGGAGCGGAGGGATGCTGGGCTGGTCAGAAGATTGTCCTAGGAAGTATAGAAGATAGAAAGAGACAGGGGTAGCCGGTGTACCGTAATTCGGGGGATTGCTTTATTCGGCTATAGAAATCCTTGCGTGGGAAGGACCCCGGGACACTGGGAATCTCGGGCACGTGATGAGGTAATCGACGAAGTGTTCCCCGTGAGAAAAGAAGGGTTGCCCGTCCGATAGGAAAAAAGAAAAGCAATGACGTAAGACTGAACATTGAAAATTTGGAAAATTGTTTGCAACCCTTCGTGTCCTCAGACAGGATTTTTAGGGGGGTCGTCGGTATAGGATCTGCTAGTAAGTGAATGGAGGGTTGATGCTAGGGGTTAAAGGTCGCTTGGGAATGAGCTTTGCCGCCGATCAGATTCAAGATAGAACACGAAGAGGGTTGCTTGGGCTTTATGTAAATACGCAGCATCCCGTCGGATCTGGCTTAATGTATTGGAATTAAAAAACCACCCCCTCGACTACCCCATTGAATATCTACCAGCGTTAAGATACAAAATCTCCCTCCCACCCCCCCCCAACAAAAAAAAAAGAGAGAAACAGTAATTTTATTGCAGCTACCAATATTTTCGTGTGCGAGCCAAGGCTGATTTATATTTTCCAAAGTGCCAGGTAATCTGGATAATAAAAACAGGGCCGGCATATAAGGGTTCTTTCGGTACCCCATACACCAAGCGCATCGAACAAAGATGGACGAATTCGCATTACCACTCAATTACACTGATTACCGTGGTTCACGATATCAACTATGCGCAAGTAGGTACCTACGGGCGGCAGGACAATGCACCGGAGCAAGGTACACGCGGAGTCCGCTGTCCAAAACAACCGTTAGGTACAGAGGGGGTTGTCCTCCCCTAGGAGGACAATGAGGAAACTTCCAAGTGGAATAATAGGGGTGGTAGAAGGAGCGTTGAAATTCCGCGAAATGTCAGTGTAAAAAGTATACATGTATATCTATATACGTTAACCGTTACGTGTAGGGGGTGGCTTTTTTAGCCAATAGCAGAGGGTGAAATGGTCCAGGAGGGAAGAGGATGCGGCATGAATCCGGATGGATGGTCGTTCGTTAAAATTACTCTCATAAATCGCCATGACGATCGGATCTTCGTTAATCTTTGTGAGTTTGCCAAACGAGTCGGATGAAAGAGTCCTCCAGTATGTTTTCTATCTTTGTTCCTCCCTATCGGTATTTCTTTCACTATCTATCTATCCATCCTTATCCATCTATCTGCTATATCGCACCGACGATGCACCGCTGCATAGAAAAGAGCAGAGTGCAGATTACGTAGATGGAAAGGACGCAACTGCACGGAACAGGGGGTTTATGAGGTTTATGAGGTTTCCGAGCTAGAAGGGTAAAGTTATACCAGTCTGGTAGAAGAAGTCTTGGGTCATGGAAAAATAAGAATATCCTTTGGCTGGT